CATCTTTAACCATTAATCTTAGATTTTATTCTTGTAATTACTTTTTATAGGTTATATTTCATCTCCATCTTTAATTTCTACCTTGATTATGAGTAGCTAAACCCATTAGTTAGGGTTGTGACCCAACCCTAGTGTGGGTATTTAAAGGGTCTTCAATTTTAGGGCTTAATTGTTTATGGGTTAATGATATTTAGCTCGATTCATGCTTTAATTGTTGAATTGGTGGTTGCAAACATTCATTCGTGCCTATATGACTTATACTCTTCTTGTGAAAGAGAGTCTAAGTCTAGGAAATTCAGGCTAACAAGGAATTGGGGTGCATTCAAGAGATTGATAGCCCTAATTAAAGGGTTAAACCTAGAGATAGTAATACCCGACTTGAGCCAATTTTGCTTGCATTATTTGGACACCCAATTGTGCTAAAGATGTGACGACCCAAAGGGTCATCACCTGTGTTAATTAAATTCTATGACTCCGAGGCCTTGAAAACCTCATTTAGAGCAGTCCGGGCGCATAGTCGGAAAGCTTAAATATAAAATTCTGTGAAAAATGCTAAGTTTTGATGTTAAAATGAATAAATTTGACCTTGGTCAACGTTTTGGGTAAACGGACCCGGACCCGTAATTTGACGGTCGCGGAGGGTCCGAAGGAAAATATGAGACTTGGGCGTATGCCCGGAATCGAATTCCGAGGTCCCAAGCCCGAGAAATGATTTTTTTTGTAAAATTGTTTTCTGAAATTGTTTAAGGAAATTTGAAATGAAAATTGATTAGAACGTGTTGGTATCGGTCCCGTATTTTGGTTCCGGCGCCCGGTACAAGTCTTATATATGGTTTAAGTCATTCCTGTGAAATTTGGAGAAAAACGGACATCGTTTGACGTGATTCGGACCTAAATTGGAAAAAATTAATGTTTTATGAAGTTTGAAAGAATTCATGGATTTTGAGGTTTAATTCGACGTTTATGATGTTATTTTGGCTATTTGATCGCACGTATAAGTTCGTAGGATGTTTTTGAGGTTGTGTGTATATTTGGTTTGGAGCCCCGAGGGCTCGGGTGAGTTTTGGACAGGCCACGGGTGCATTTTTGGACTTTGAAAAATAGTTGGTCTGTTCTGATCTATAGGCTTCGCATTTGCGAAGCCAGTCTCGCAAATACGAAGCCATGCATCGCAAATGCGATGCCCGCCTAAATCCTCTGCGGTCGCAAATGCGATCTCTTCTTCGCAAATGCGAAGGTGCAAATGCGACTATTGTTTCGCAAATGCGAAAAATTGGGATTTCTGAAGGGTTCGCAAATACGAACCCTGTTTCGCAATTCCCACATCTGCAGAGATCGGGGTTCGCAATTGCGAACCTTTGTTTGCATTTCCCATAACTGAGACCTGCAATTTTTACACTTGAACGATTTTGAGCTTCATTTTTCATATTTTCTCAAACCCAAACACACTTAGGCGATTTTCCAAGACCAACTCTTCTTCCAAATCAATTGTAAGTTAGTTTTTACTCATTTCCTTCAATCATTAACATCTTTTAAAAAAATTGGGGATTTGGACCTCAATTTGAGGTCCGATTTCAAAACAAATTAAATATTTGAGTACGTGGGGGAATGGGTAATCGGGTTTTGGTTCGAACCTCGGGTTTTGACCACGTGGGCCCGGGGGCGATTTTTGACTTTTTGGGTAAAACTTTGAAAAACTCATTTTCATGCATTGGGGTTATTGATGTAATTAAGTAATTTTGTGATTAGATACGAGCGAATTGGTGGTGGAATCAAGGGGTAAAGCTATAATTGAGACTTGAGTTGTGTTCAAGGCATCGAGGTAAGTGTAACGTCTAACCTTAGCTTGAGGGATTAGGAGTTGAGTCATACTTGCTATTTGCTTCTTGTTGAGTACGACGTATATGCATGGTGACAAGTATCTATACGTTGGTGTCGAGCATGACCGTGAGTCTTAAATTGATAGTTGTTGTGTTTTTAGATGACACTTCGGATGCTTTAATTGATGACTCTTGATATTGAGTAAGGATTTAGTTTATCCTCGTGGACTTTATTTATACTGGAGTATTGGTATTAATTGAGCTGAGCAGGAGTTGAGCTAGGATTGGTTATAGCTGATTCCCCCTTGCCGGCATGGTTGTTTGATATTGTTGTTCCCTTGCTGGGAAATTGTTATGCTGCTTTTGTTCCCTTGCCGGGAGTTTATTATGATTTTGTGTTGGCTTGAGATGGGAGCGGGTGGTACGCCTACCACGAATTATGATGAAATGGGAGCAGGTGGTACGCCTACCACAAGTTATGATGAAATGGGAGAGGGTGGTATGCCTACCACGAGTTATGATGAAATGGGAGCGGGTGGTACGCCTACCACGAGATTTATGGAATGGGAGCGGGTGGTACGCCTACCACAAGATTGATGAAATGGGATTGGGTTGCACGCCTGCAACGAGATGTGAACTAAAAGTGAAATATGCCTTTATTTTTCCTTATCCGTGCTAGAGTTAAATTGTTGGTTTCCTTATTATTCTCTTGAGGTTCTGTATTATTTTCGTTATATATATATAACTGCACAGGTTTATCTGGAGTCTGGTCCTAGCCTCGTCACTGCACTTACCAGCACATGGGGTCGGTTGTGCTGATACTACACTCTGCACTGTGTGCAGATCCCGGAGCAGTATTTGATCATCAACAGTAGATCGGGAGCCATCCTTCAGTCCACCGAGACTCCGAGGTAGCCCTGCTGGCGTCCGCAGGCCCGGCGTCTCTTCTATCAGTTTTATGTTCTGTTGTCATTTGTACTCGAGACAGACTATGTTCTTTTCTTTCAAACACTTATTTGTAGTAATCCTAGACAGTCTGTGGTTGTGACACCAGGTTCTGGTTAGAGGCATGTGTTGGTCTTCAGGATGATTCAGTTTTATATTTATCTAAGACTTCCGCTAAATTTCATATTCCGCTGTTATTTAATTGTTTATTTTTTGTTAATTTAATTGGTTAAAAAGGAATTAGAAACAAAAGAGTTTAAAGATTTTTAAGTCCGTGGCTTGCCTAGCTTCTACGAGTAGGCGCCATCACGACTCCCGAGGGTGGGAGATCCGGATCGTGACAAGGGGTTCTCTGGAAGCTATCAGATGATTATTGCGCGGACGTGGTGAGAAAAAAGTTTCTTGAGGCACATTTTTAAGTATTGTTTCCTAATATTACTTAGTTTTGACTTCTCAATTCAAAATTTTCATATTTAACATATTTTATGAAAAGATCAAGCTTTTGTTTTGGTAACAAAATTGTGAAGGAAAATAATTGATACATGCTGGATGAGCATGCCTAAGAATTTCCAAGTCAACATCATAGTATTGGAGTGCTTTAAAGGAGTCAAGATCAAGAAGACTATACTTGTAATAATTGACTAAGCTCCTTAGAATTTGCTTAGGGGTATTTTAGTCATTTGTAGCCAAATGCCCACTCTAGTATAAATAGCCCTTAAGGCTTTTATTTTAGGTAGACTTGATGAATGATAAACCTTGAAGACATGCAAGTCTCACACTCTTTCCTTATTTTTTAATTAATGCATTTATGTTTATGCCTTCATTTCCTTTATTGCTTTGTTTATGCTCTCATTAGTGCTAAATTAGTCTTAGTTGGTGAGCAATTAGTAGTGAATGCTTAATTACTTTATCCGGGTTTTCAAGAGTTGTCAATCTCTTGAGGGTTTTCATAGCTTAGAGTTACAATTGATTGAGTTCGTAGAGGTAATTAGGCTTCATAGCCTAATTGTTCTTGTTCTTCCAATCAATTGTAGGTATAGCTCATCTTGGTATTATAGCGGAGCTTTTGGATTGTTCTATCAATCCTTGGCTCAACTAATCTGGAAAAAAAAAATGAAAAATTCCAAAAAAATAGAAAGTTTACTGTTCATCCGTGTTTGAATTAGGAATTGTATCTCATTGTTCTTCCTTTGTCTGTTCCAAAGAGAAACTCGAAATTCCTTGTTCTCTTGCTCGATTTAAATTCTGAAATTTCTGAATTCCTTCATTATCTGAGCTAGTATTACTGGTTTGAGTTTGGGTAAGCTGGGATTGAGCTTCCGAACCCTAACATCGAATATCAGAAGCGATTTTGGGAATTTTTTATTCCGGTTCCGTGATTTGAGTTTGAATTCGATTGGGAGTTTGGGAATCTAGTTGGAAACATCATTTTAAAGCTGCATCGGAAGGATTAGCTTGATTTGAACTGATTTACTAGTTTTTGGTTCGAAATTTTGAGCTGATTGTGCGAAGAAGAAGACGGCCTAGGGTTCGTTGATTTCGTGAGTGTTTGTTCAGATTAGTCACTGGGGTTCATCCCTACACCTGTTGGGAAGTTGCATTCGTAGTTCTAGCTTGATTGGAACTGATTTGATGCGATTTTGGTCAGAAAACTTTCAAACGGAATCTGCGAAGAACAGACAGGCTGGGTTCTTCTGATTTCATGGTCGTGTCTAGAAACTAATNGGACACAATTACCCCATACCTGTGTTGGTGGGAGGTAGCAGGTACCCCATGGAATAGTCGAGGTGCCAGCAAGCTGGCCTGAACGCACGGTTATCAAACAATTGCTAGGCACTGATCCATGGCAAACACTCCTACAGATTCTGTCATTTGTTCCTCCAGTTTGCCAAACTTCTCTGTTCCACCTTTTTATGTCTGTCTTTAGAAGTCTGAGTTTTTGTGCCTGGATAAAATCATGAGTACCACTGACCGCATATCCATCTCACCGTTCTTGCACTTTCAAGAAAATCTTCAGCCCTTAGCCACATATCTTCGAAATTAATTATGTGCTACTTGGCTACCAATCGCCGCACTTCAGCATCAAAGGTTTGTGGTCTGAAAATGCTTTGGTCAAAAATTTCTGCCTGATGTTTCTGAAGACTTCATCCCATTCTATTGACATGAGGAATCTGTCAGTTCTTGATGCTTGGAACTTATTATCATCTCTGGACCATGTGTAAAATCCATCATGTAAAGGANGTCACACGAACCAGGTTTGATTCCTTGAGTTTAAAAAAATGAGCTCCATCTCTGATTTCTGAAATTTTGGAGAGAATTTGTTCTCTGAGGTAATTAGCTTGAATCATTCAAGTCGACTCGTGTTGTTTATTGCTTGAATTAACTGATTGCAACTGTTCATTTGGAGCTCGAGTGCTTGACTCGAAGACTTAAATTCATTTTTCATTCTTGTTGCTGTTGAATTTTGATCGAGAGTTTGTCGTCAAGTTTTCAGTTGAATTGAATTAGTTTTGGAGAGCCAAAGTTGAGTTGTAATTCTGCATTCAAGAACCACTGTTTGGGACAGCATTTAGCAACATCTTTCTGCATTGTATGCTCAGATCACACCAGCTCTTTAGCTACTTCTTGTTGTCCAGAAATTGCAGCAACAAACAAATGGTTTAGGCTGCTGGAAATCCAACACTTTTGAGCAGTAAATCTGCCCTGTTTCAGCAGTGTTTGATCAGACTTCTGCATATGTTTGACAGCCTAATTGCATCAATTTGGAGGAGTGTTTGAGCAGCAAAATCTGCACAGTTTGGACTGAGAGTTCAGCATTGTTTCTACATCTGTGAGCTTCTAAAATCTGAAGCCTTGGACTAGCATTAGAGCAAAGAAAATCTGTATTATTCCTGCCACTGATATTTGCGCTGTTTCAGCAATTTCTGCAGTTTTGTTGACTGTTTTCAGCTGAATTTTTTTTGCACTTTGTGGTTATTCTGCTTTGTGGAAACTGCAACTGAAATTGAAAAGGTTTTAAGTTTGAGATTCTTTGAGCTTGTGAACCTAAGTTTGAGCGGTGTTTAACAGCATAAATTGCACAAGTTGTTAACCTCGAAATCAGCATTGTTCCTGCTATTTTGGGCATCAGTTGCACATCTACAGATTAATTTTTCCCAGTTGTTTTAGTTGTTTAACAGAATTGTAGTTCACAGTGGTTTCAAGTTTAATTCAGGTCCAGGGAATGCTCAGGAAACTTCAGAAAACTAGGAGCTACAGTGGTCGCACAGTTTTACCGAGAAACTCTGATTGTTAACTCTAAATTAGTTTCAGTTTTCTGTCAACTTTTTATTGTGCTCTAAACTAGTGTAAACTTGATATTAGTTCATATTAAGTTTAACATAGTTCTTTGTGTGCTTAATTTTGTTTCGTGCCAATTGTTTCGTGCTTTTGTCTTTTAATTTCGTTGCGAATTGCTTGGTTCAAGTCCGTTTGCTTTTAATTGTGCGTCCTTGTGAATACACAACTTCCACTCCACCCCGAAGCGGTTGGTACTTGTTGTGAAACCTTGGAACTTAAGTTTGCTAGCAATTTTGACATTCACTACTTGAGCGGAAAAAGGCAAGAGTGAATAGGACATTGAGCACGCAAGAGCCAATTGGTGCAAAGTGCGATACACGAGGGTTGAGCGATATCAAGTGAGTTGGTGAGGACTTTTACTACTAACTTGTTTGCTCATTTTGTAGGTATCATGGAGTACGGACAAACTTTTACTCCTAATTGTGATCCACGGAGTGAGACTCCGATGCATGATGTTGTTTCTATGCTTTATGACATAAGCGAGAAGGTTACCAACTCTATGCTTTATGACATAAGCAAGAAGGTTATCAACTTAAGTGAGAAGGTTACCAACTTAAGTGAGAAGGTTACCAATATTAGCATACGGCAACACCAAACGGATGCAAGGTTGAATTCCATGATAGAGGAATCTCACTTGAGGCAACAAGGAAGGGAGCATAGTATGACGCTTACTAATTCCTCTACTACACCCTCTCCTTCACAAGTGCGAGAAATGCTTCAAAGGGAAAAATTGCAACTCCACCAACCCAACCAAATACCACAAAACTTACCAAGGCAACCACAATCACCAAAGGGACCTTATTTTCCTCCACCAAACTACCGACCACCTATCCCCTACCAACCTCCAACCACACATCCTCGACCACAAGTACCTCAACTTCAACCTTATCACACTCCACCACAAGTTTACTCTTCACCACCACAACCCCACCAAGATTACTTTCCACCACCCCAAGTGTCCTACCCACAAGTACACCAACCACCATTTACACCTCAAGCACACATACCCATAATACCACCACCCAAATGACCCAACCTCGACCACCAATGAATTTAGCTCCCCAACGTATGCCTCAAGCACCACCAAGGAGGGACAATCTCCCTCCTCCACCACCCATACCACCTCAAGAGCCTCAAATGATTAACAACCCACTTTTTCAATATGATCATGAGACCACCTTGAATGAGTTGACAACATCCAACAAGTTTTCCATGATAAATATAGGGGGGATAAAGTGAACCAAAGGGGAAGAGGCCAAATGAGTTTGAGAACGTCCTTGAAAAATGCAAAAGAGAAAAAGTAAGGATGAGAGACAAAAGATAGAGAGTAGTGAGAGAGAGAAAAGTGACAACTCTAGAGTGGATAAAGGAGGGAAAGTATGGAGTGAAGTGAGTGAGTTGTCACAAGAAATGAGTGAAGAGCTTAAAAAGAAAATGAGAGACAAGAAAGAAGGAAAACAAAAAGAGAGTGAAATTTTTCCTTATTCTAATGCTAACAACCTTTCTTCTTTCTCTAGTTGTTTTGTATCTTGTGAAGGAACTTTTGGAGGTGAGCCATTAATTGAAGTTCAATCTACTTTGACGAACTTGGAAGAAGATCAAGCTACCTTTTCGAGAGAACTTTTGAAATTTAATGAGCAAGTTCAAGGTAAAGAGAATTTCACTTTAGAAGAGCTTCAAGGTAACATAGCTCATCCTTCTACTCGTGATACTTTAGTTGATTGTGGTGACACTTTGAGTTTGAAATATAGCTATGATATTGATACTTTTTTATCTTGCAATGAGAAAAACAGTTTTGGGTTGCAACTAGCTAGGAGTGCTTGCGCATTATTGGACGATTCTAGTTCTTTGTTTAATGAATCCCTAGCTAGTGATTTGTGTGATGTTGAATCTTATGATACCCCACCTTTATGGGATGATGCATGTGATGATTCTTTTGACTCTACTTTAACTTTGTTAGAAGAAAGTTTTGACCTTTATGGAGAAATGAGTCAAGAAGAATGTGTTGATGATTCTTTTGATTCTATTTTCATTCTTTTGGCAAAAAGATTCAATTTTTATGGTGAAATGAGCAAATGTGAGTTTGGAGATACCTTGTTCGAGAGTGACAAGTTACTTCTAATGACATAAATATAAAAGAAAAACTTCCATTTGTATTCCAATGAGTTAACTTCTCTTGTATTTGATCTTGATGACTATTATGCATATTTATGTGATGATTTTGTTGAGTGTGAAAAGGAATGTAAATTTTTTGATGCTAGCACTAGTATTTATTGCTTTACTTATTTTATTCCTACTTTTGAAAGAACATTCTCGTTGGATTTTGCCAATGCTTCGATGAGAAAAGGTAAGAATGTTTCTTTTGGTATTTTGAGTGACCATTTTGAGCAAAAAGAACCTAACTTTATTGATTTTTTTGTGAAGGTTCAACATGAGAAAGTTGTTAAGGTTAAGAAAGGCCTTGAACTAACACTTTGGCATACTTTTTATCAAGAGCTTTTTGTTTTTCCCAAAAGCAAGAACGGTATGTACGTTTGGCTTATGCTTATTTTGTGTTTATCTAAGGGCATTGAGGTAAAGAGTTTTAACTTTGAGTATTATGATATTCTTTATATGATGATTCATGATGAGCATGGCATATCTCTTAAGTTGTCATGTGAAGTTGTTGGAAGGTGTGTAGATATTTGGAGATTAAAATTTGTGTTTGACCACGGAGTTGCTTCTTATCATGGTGAAGTGTCTTTCTTTGAGTTGGAGAGTATGATTTTTATTCCTTCTTATGACACTTGATTATACCATAAAAGTGTGCACTTTGTTGAGGATTTGACAATATTGTGGTTTTGTTGGAAGCATGAAACTTTACACTCTCTTAATTCTTCTCATGATTTATTATTTTTCTTATAGTCAAGTTTGTGTCATTAGTAATGGAGATGTGTTCTTTATAGATTGCGACACTTGGCTATATCATAAGAGTGTCACTTTTGAGTACAAGATTGTGATCTCTGATCTTTTAGCTTGGACATACAATACTTTGATTGTGATTGGCTTGATACTTATCTTTGCCTCTTTCTTGGTTTTGCAAGGCCCACTCTAGTATAAATAGCCCTTAAGGCTTTTATTTTAGGTAGACTTGATGAATGATAAATCTTGAAGACATGCAAGCCTCACACTCTTTCCTTATCTTTTAATTAATGCATTTATGTTTATACCTTTAATTCCTCTATTGCTTTGTTTATGCTTTCATTAGTGCTAAATTAATCTTAGTTGGTGAACAATTAGTAGTGAATTAATTGCTTAATTACTTTATCCGGGTTTTCAAGAGTTGTCTATCTCTTGAGGGTTTTCATAGATTGTGTTCGTAGAGGTAATTAGGCTTCATAGCCTAATTGGTTCTTGTTCTTCCAATCAATTGTAGGTCTAGCTCTTATTGTTGATTCCGCGTATTTTGTCATATCCGTGTTTTGGTTCATAGTTCGTATCAATAATGCAATTTTAATCAGTTAGACGGAAGCGAGACTGAGATGGTTTGGGCATATGAAGAAGAGTAGCATAGATGTCCTTGTGAGGAGGTGCGAGAGGTTGGCGGCGGTAATAGTTCTAAGGAGAGGTAGATGTAGACTGAAGAAGAATCGGGGAGAGGTGATTATACATGGCGCGACACATCTTCAGCTCAACGAGGACATGACCCAAATAGGGGAGCATGGAGGTCAAGGATTAGGGTAGAAGGTTAGTGGATAATCGAGCGATTTCTCTCTTCTCGGTTGGAGAGCGTGGTTGTAGTTTGGAGCACCTTATATGCTCCCTATGCTCCTTATCAGTGTTATTAGTGTTATTGGATTGCTAACTTATTCCCCAATTTTATTATTACTGTTGTTTCCTTTATTTTGGTTGTCTTACTACAATCCTACTATTACTACTATTCTTTTATTGCTTTGGTTATCTTACTACTGATCTTCTCCTTGTTCTCCATTTTTATTGCTAATGTTCTTCTTTAATTTGTTTTAAAAGTGCTTTTCTTGAGCCGAATGTCTATTACATATAACCTCTCTAGCTTACACAAGGTAAGAGTAACGTCTTGCGTACACTCTACTCTCCCCAGACTCCACGTGTGGAATCATACTGGATATGTTATTGTTGTTCTTGTAGTGTAGGAGTAGTTAAACTTGTCTTATGCGATGGAAGTTATGAAAATTATACTAGCTTGAAGAAGTTACTTCTTTGGACTTTTAACTTCTCTTCGGTGTTGTATACTTGATTTTATAGGGTTGCCCTATCTAGTAAATTGTTTTTCTTGAAGAAGTATGAAAGTGAAGCATAATTAGATGGAATTTTGGTGCCGTAATTTAATGGTTCAACTATCTAGGCTTAATTTACTAGAGAATGATAGATGATGTAGTAAAGAGCATGAAAATAGGACAGCTGAAATGGAGGAGTACTATGGGATTGCTATACGATAGGAAGATACCTGACACAGTGAAAGGTAACATTTATTGAACTGTGGCGAGACCTTTAATGTGTTGTTGTTGGTGAGACCTTCAATGTGATACGGGACCGAGAGGCCTAACATATCCACGACATAGGTGTTGCAGAAGTGCCTATGCTAACATGGATGTGCAATCACGGACTGGACGAAAATGGACACTTCCGAGACAGGACGCAAGTACTACACACGAAATGAGGGAAGATCGACTAAGATGGTTTAAACCATGATCTTCATAGACATCCACAATCATTTCATAATGCAACTTTATGATGATTGAAGGTGCTCGAGATAAACATAAAATTACATGGAGGTATTGTTGCAAAAGAACTACAATTTCTTGGTACCTGTGCGAACCTAGCTAAGTACAAAATATAAGGAAACAAAAATTCCATATATGTGATACTAATTAGTTTGGATTAAGGTTTAGCCATTATGTTTCACTAACATTAGGATTAGTCTTTTTCAAAAGTCTTTTCGATTTGGTTAGAGGCTAATGTGAAAATATAGGAATAAATTTGAGATTTAGAGGACCTCTAGTTTTAGATAATGTCCTATGTTCCTGAGAAAGCATATTATTTATAAGCATGGAATGATTTGGGCCCGAACAGAGTAGAATATTTACAAAGGATTCATATCGCTATCTCTAACTTTATTGTGGAATTGAGTTGTAATTGATTCATTGATGTTGGTCTCAGGAGGGAAAAAACCAAGCAAAGGAGACTTGCGATTCGCGGAAAAGTTACTTAAGAAAAGTTCTGTTGCTTTGTTTAGTATTTTCATATGTTGAGTAGAGGTTTATGGTTGAGGGACTGAAAAAGTTTCTTGGGAAAATGATTAACAAAGGTCTCTCAAAAAAAGTACTGGAGTTGCACTTCACCTGGGCAATTGCGGAGTATAAACGTGCTTTCTAGACTGCTACGGCCCCAGAAAAGACAACTTCTTTTTTTGCATTGGTCTGCATCCAGAGAATCGATAAGCTTCTAGTGCTCTATGTTGATTTCTAATTTGTTTATCTTGTTTTCCTCGAGCTAACTAGTGCAAATACACTCTGAAATTCTTGCGGACACCTACGCTGATGCTATAAATTAATGTTGCAAGAATTTCACAAGTATGTTGTCGTAAACAATGGGAGTCTTTAGTAAAGAGAGATCAGTCATGGTAACTTGTGTTTCATTTTCATGTGCAACTTTATAGTGGAAGACATAAATCACCCGTTGTTGCAATCTGCTTGAGCTTTGTGACCTAGTTTTCTATTCATTTGGATTGCACAGAACTTTTAGGCCTGGTTTTCTTGAGACGATGGGTTCGAATCCCAGCCGAGGCAAAAGATTAGGTAATTTTTCTTATCTTCTACGTCGTGGTGGATAGAATTATCCGGTACTTGTATTAGTAAGAGGATACAGGTATCGGATGAAATAGACGAGGTGCACGCAAGTTGGTCCAACACTTTGTTATTAAAAACTAGAAAGAAAGAGAGAGAAATGAGTAGATATGCATATCAAGGTCTTGAAAAGTCATTAAAAAGAATCTAACAATTTTTGCATGGCCTAGTGGTCAATAAGTGTGAAAGGTCTTGGTAGATGAAGGTTCATCCTAGGCGAAGCGTTAGGTGATTTCATCCTATCTATCTAAGTTTTGGTAGGCAGAGTTACTCAGGTACTAGTGGAGGTAGCAGGTACCCGATGGATTAGTCAATGTGCTCGCAACTAATTGTTCATTTTTTTTTGTAAAGAGGCAAATCCATACCCTATTGATGCCTGAATAGATCTTTTCTTCGAAGCCATTAGCATCACTTAGCCTCGTAACCTTTTTGGGCATCCTCTCTTTGTCTATAACTTCATACAAAATTATATTGCATTTTTTCAAAAAAGAAAAATAACATTACTACATAAGATGTCTCCATTAGACAAGAAGGATCTCATTGATCTATCACTAATTTCCCATCACTTCAGATTAATAATTTTTAGTTGAAATTAGCCCTTCAACCAAAGATGATGCTCAAACCAACATTGGCTCATCCTGGATTGAGTAATAATTTGACCCTCACGAATCACTTGATGAACATGCTTATATTGTTTCATGAAGCTAGAGCATGATTATGGGCAAAACTGTTGCTTTTCAGGCGGCATTGAGAAATTACTAATGATGGATACATCATGTGATATGGTAAAATTGTGTAAAGATGCTGAGCAGCAAATGCCTAATGATAATATTGAAACATCATACATTATTGGTGATGAAGAATATTTGCCTGTGAAAGAAAAGTACGTATAACTATCTGATGCTTTCCTTAATGAATGGTGGGATTAAGCTACTGGTGGATTAAGGAATAACATCCTTTTTTGATACTTTTGTTTCACATGGGAAGTTCTGTTGATCTGGTCATTAGCTGCTTGGGACTCCATTGGACAAATGATCTTCCTGGAGCAATGATACAGGTGCTTGCTGTGTTTGGTCTGATACAACCAGATTGGATGTCCTTCTAGTTCTTAGTCATTTTCCTTTATTTTATTCTTGAACTCAAAATGACATCATCTCCAATTGACACTTACTATAACTGTATTTCTACCAGTGCAGATTGGCTTTAAAGTCAGATGGCCTATTTTTGGCAGCTATTCTTGGCGGAGAAACACTGAAGTATTTCACTACCATTTTATTTAGTGCATGCAGTCTCTATGTCTGTAGTTGTCTAATTGTCATCGTACTGCTATCATCTTAGGGAGCTGCGAATAGCTTGCACTGTTGCACAAATGGAGCGTGAAGGGGGCATCCGTCCACGACTATCACCCTTGGCCCAAGTATGTTATAAAAAGTTTGGCTATAGGACACCGATTTTGGTAATTGTTTCATAGGTGCTAGGATTGGCTCTTGTCAAAACTAGAAACAATCTCGAGATTCCTAAAGTAATGCATGTCTAACAATCTTTTATTGTTTATAAGATCTCACAGCAGACACTTCTAGAAATTTCAGTTTGGCACGGTGACCAATTTCGGCCACTGTATCATGGATTATTTTTCGGAAAGATAGGTCTTAACGCGTAAGGACGTATTACATGAGCTGAATTTGTTATATGTAGTGTAAAATTGACTCCGCTCATACTTTTTTGTTTCATGTCAGTGGGTCAACCAAATTTCTTTTCTGTTAAGTTTCCTTTTTATTTCAATTTATAAACGTTTCCGTATAATAAAATTGTTCTCTTTTAGATGCACAATGCTATAGTATTCCGTTCAAGGCAGTATGACTTTGGCACGTGGAGTGGTTTCAGTTTTAACTTAATGTCTATTTGAAGAAAAGGAGTGGGGGAGTATATGGAATGAGGAAGCATTTGTTCATTGTCAAATGTGGATTTCAGTCTGGGCCATCCAGTAAAATTATTGTTCAACTACAGTATGCAACGTGCAATGTTTTCTACTTACACGTTAAAGGCTCATGGTCTGCAGTAGGGTTATCTGCTTCTCTGGCAGCAACATATCATTTCTTGTTATTTACCTTGTACTCCTCTACCATTCCCTGGGAATGGAGAAACTTTAAGCAGGCAGTTATATATCGTCGTCACAGCGAACAATGGAAACAGGACTAAGAATCTGTCTTATTTTTGTAAAGAATTTCCATCTGGTAGGTGAAGAGTCAGCTATCACTTCATTGTTGGTAATTTAAGCTATAAATAAAAGTTGTATTGTTGCTCGTTAGATGAAGAAAAGGTTGTGGTAGGAGCAACTTATAGGAAAGTAAACGATTCATGTGAATGAGCATATATAATTGTGTTGCAGGTGCGGGATGCTGGCAATCTCTTGACTAGAGCAGGCTTTACTCTTCCAGGGGTTGATGTTGATGAGTATACAGTTCGATATAGCAGTGGTAAGAGTTTTGCTTCGTGCTTTGGTTTCCAAACTCATATTCAAGTAGACTGGCTGGCAGGAGCCTCTTGTACATTGCATGAATCCATGTCTGAATATGTCTTAAGTTTCAACAGCGCTGCTTGATGTGCTCCCTTGCTCTCCACTTTTTGCTCGTACAATTTTCTAGCTTTCTGTAAAGTTTTTCATATCATCTATATGGACATATTTTCTTCTGAATGATGGACGTTTTCTTTTTACGTCAAGCAAAGGTAGATTTCTTTCACTCAACGTCCAGATGATGCAAGTACAAAAGAAGTTAGCTCTTGTACAATGTCAGATGACCCCTGACAAAAAATTGAAGGACCTTACAAAATCCAAAAGAAGAGTCGGTGCTATTTACATTAAAAAGTTTACTTCAAGCAAAAAGATTCATCAAAATTCTAGCCTTCAGAACAGGAGTTGGAGTTGAAATTCCGTCAAAACAGCGCTGATTTCTTTCCAAATGCACCATATGATCACTGCAGGAACCATCTTCACAATTTGACGATGGATTTTCCAACTCTCCAATTTCCCCAAGCTGCAAAGGCTTCTTTCAGACTATATGGTATCACCCAAACTACTTGCAAAAGGCAAAGAAACATATTCCATACATCTACACAGCAAAAGTGAATGGCATGTGTTTTCCACCTCTTATAGGCATAGATCACACCTACTGGATATGGCATACCCTTTCTACTAAGTTTATCTTGATTTAAGTATGCTCCCCTAACGACCAGCCAATATAACAGGCCACTTCCAGATCAACTTCAAAGCCAGTTAACAAGTATTCAATTGTTTCTGATGGGTGGCATACTTTGACAGTGAACTATCACCTCTTCTCTTCTCCCGCTATCAGCTTGTCTTTTCCTTGCAATTGAGTTTGGAACATTGTATTTACTAGAAAATCCAACATTTTATCCCGTTCTCAGTCTTGGCAATGTCTTCTAAATAAAATGTTCCATGAATCTCTCTCGCATTTTATGTGATTATTCTCATTTATATCCAACTACTTTATTTTCCACAAGAAAATTCTTAGAAGTACTTTTCAATTTGAATTTAAGANTACTTTCAACAAATGCTTCATTGATGACAAGACCTTCAACAAGGAGATCGTGAATAATCACTTGCAATTCCTAGACTTGGGTAATAACAGACTTGCTATCTACCATTTTGTAGTCCAAAAACTTTGCAGCAACAAACTTTTTCAACCCGACATCTTTGGTTTTGTATTTCTTTTCAAGCGCAGTCCACAGTTCCTTTGACGTTTCCACGCCACTGTAGACGTTATACAAAGCATCCTCCAGCCCGCTTAGAATATAATTCTTGCACAAAAAATCTGAATGCTTACACGCCTCAATCACGAGAAAGCGTTCAGTTTCTGGAGTTTCATCGGACAACACAGGAACATCTTCCTTGATGAACTTTTGGAGACTTAGAGTAGTCAAATAGAAGAACATCTTTTGCTGCCAGCGCTTAAAATCAATCCCGGAAAATTTTCCGGGTTTCTCCGCCGGTGGCAATGCTGCCGGTGTCGTTCGGCTAGTTGAGGCATTAGCAGTCACCATTGGAACAGCTTGGTTCTCATTCTCATTAGTCATTTCTGTAAAAGAATGACACAAACGTTAAAATCACGTAGATTTTAATAGAGTACAAAACCACAAAGGTTTTACTCTTCCAGAAACAGTAAGTACAAATACAAAAAATATAATAAATTCCTTAAGCTTGTTAGTAGACTGTATTTGTAAAATAATTCTGGAAATATAAATGAATATAAACAGAAATGAACATAAACAGAAATGACATAAAACCAATTCGAGCCACTGAATTCACAGTGTTTTCTTAAGGAATTTAATCCTCTCCTAGTACCCAAGGTTATGGATTATTTCCTCCCAGGATAGAACGAATTACACACTGGTGTAGTGGTACTTCAAACCCCAGTGTTTCAGCGAACACAAAGTTCGGTAGCAAATCACACTTACCTTTTACTTTGTTTGATGCTAAAAGTATGCAGAAGAAGGGGAGAAAACTCAGAAAATCGTAGTGAAATTCTAAGCAGAATAGTGTTGTATTTATAGCAAAAGTTGGGCTGAAATCTGAAGAGGTGCAACTCACTTTTCTGTTACCAAAACAGAAAAATGGATTGGATTTAATATTAATATTTAATAGTAATATTCTGTTATTAAAACAAATATTTAATAATATTTTACTATTTATAGCCGGAGCCGAGCTGAGCGAGCGACGACGACGGCGCGAGGCTTGCCTTCTTCTCAACTCTTTAAGTGCTAGAAGAAGAGCAATTGCTTATATACCCATAAAAAACCTCTTCCTCTTCCAATATGGGACAATGCCCATTTGTCAAGGGGGAACTTAAAATTTCACTCAAAAATTTCATTTCCCTCCATTTCCCATTCAACCTCTTTTAAGTATTTAATATATATTAATTAAATACATCCAAAACCCAACAAAGGTTTGTGGTAGGAGCAACTTATAGGAAAGTAAACGATTCATGTGAAGGAGCATATATAATTGTGTTGCAGGTGCGGGATGCTGGCAATCTCTTGACTAGAGCAGGCTTAACTCTTCCAGGGGTTGATGTTGATGAGTATACAGTTTGATATAGCAGTGGTAAGAGTTTTGCGTCGTGCTTTGGTTTCCAAACTCATATTCAAGTAGACTGGCTGGCAGGAGCCTCTTGTACATTGCATGAATCCATGTCTGAATATGTCTTAAGTTTCAACACCGCTGCTTGATGTGCTCCCTTGTCTCCACTTTTTGCTTGTACAATTTTCTAGCTTTCTGTGAAGTTTTTCATATCATCTATATGGACATATTTTCTTCTGAATGATGGACGTTTTCTTTTTACGTCAAGCAAAGGTAGATTTCTTTCACTCAACGTCCAGATGATGCAAGTACAAAAGAAGTCAGTTCCTGTACAATGTCAGATGACCCCTGACAAAAAATTGAAGCACCTTACAAAATCCAAAAGAAGAGTCGGTGCTATTTACATTAAAAAGTTTACTCCAAGCAAAAAAGATTCATCAAAATTCTAGCCTTCAGAACAGGAGTTGGAGTTGAAATTCCGTCAAAATAGCGCTGATTTCCTTCTTTCCAAACGCACGATATGATCACTGCAGGAACCATCTTCACAATTTGACGATGGATTTTCCAACTCTCCAATTTCCCCAAGCTGCAAAGGCTTCTTTCAGACTATATGGCATCACCCAAACTACTTGCAAAAGGCAAAGAAACATATTCCATACATCTACACAGCAAAAGTGAATGGCATGTGTTTTCCACCTCTTGTAGGCATAGATCACACCTACTGCATATGGCATACCCTTTATACTAAGTTTATCTTGATTTAAGTATGCTCCCCTAACGACCAGCCAATATAACAGGCCACTTCCAGATCAACTTCAAAGCCAGTTATCAAGTATTCAATTGTTTCTGATGGGTGGCATACTTTGACAGTGAACTATCACCGCTTCTCTTCACCTGCTATCAGCTTGTCTTTTCCTTACAATTGAGTTTGGAACATTGTATTTTACTAGAAAATCCAACATTTTATCCCGTTCTCAGTCTTGGCAATGTCTTCTAAATAAAACGTTCCATGAATCTCTCTCGCATTTTATGTGATTATTCTCATTTATATCCGACTACTTTATTTTCCACAAGAAAAATCTTAAAAGTACTTNTCTCCTCATCCACCTGTAAGCCTCGTTCACCATAGAGTATCTATTACCGGTAGAATCAGAATCGTCCCATTGCAATAGGAGGGTTTCATTCGGCATGAAGGAGGACCTTTCTCCCTCTGAAAATAAATAGACTGCTTTATTGACACTTGGTGGCCTGACATGTCATCTTTTCTGACTTTCCGTTGTGCACTTCCTTCGAAGATTCTTCCATCATATTTCCAGTCGCTGGTGTTCTGCAAACTTCATGTGAGCCTTGGAAATTATAGTACCATCATTGGTGACCACCGTTGGAGTTCCAGTTTTCTTCCTTTCAAGAACCATTCCCCTATTTGATTCGCTCTGCTTCGACCCTCGGTGGGAACTCAAAGAGAAGATACTGATTCTCCATCTCCAAAACTTTGGTCCCAGCCGTCCATTCTCCATTCTCTGGAACCACTTTTGAATGACTGTCATTTTGGGGACTGTAAAAGTATCATTAGAATGACCTACTAAGCATCTCGCCAGAAATCTATTTAGCTTACCCCATTTCAGTTTCATGTACTATAATACTGTTTAGGTCTAGGTGTGCCTCCTCCACCCCCATGGCCAACTCTAGATAGCGACATCTGTTGCATATGATTTTTGATGCCTTGCTTTTTGTTTCTCCCCTTTGCTGTACCTTTTTCTAAAAACATGAAACTCTTCTCTACGTACTCCGAGTCTCCAACCACCCTGCATCTGTATCAATCTCCTGTATGACTATTGCTGATTTGCTCTTACCCAACCATGATTCGATTTTGATGAACCTCCCACATTATGCTGAAGTTCTGAAACCTCTAACTATATACAGCTGGAGGCTGCCCTCTTGAATTTCCATTAGATGCCTGTTTTAACAGTTCACATATCTATATCAGGTTGTCTTCATCTACTTCAATTCTGCTGGAAAGGTTCCTTCTTCTTCTCCCTACTATCATGTACTAGTTCTTGGCTTCTTACGTTTATCGCTGATTTCAGAAACATTGAAGCTTTTTCTCCCACTAGACAAATCATTCGCCGTTCTTGCATTTGTCTCTAATTTTTCTTCGTTATGCACCCCAGGTTTAGCTGTGATTGTGCTTCCAAAATACTTCTGTGATTGGTAAGAGTAGTAGTACTTGCAAATTTTAGAGGTGATTTATTCTCTGTCTAAACTTATTCAGATTACAAGTTTTATCTTATGCTACTAACTCTTCCTGTCCCCTTCCAAATACCTACCTTGTGATAGCTTTCTAGCTGCTATATATTCATCTCGCCCTCTGCGCCGTCATGCATACTCAAGAGTAATCTGATTGCTTAGCTCCTCATATGTGGGAGAGTTACAGTTCAAAGATATCCCAAGCTATCAAGCTTTTGTGTAATATCTGTTAGATGATCATATGTGCAAGGAGGGGTTACTGATGTCGTCCAAATCCACTCCTCAAAGAGTAAGCGGACAGGGTAGCAGGCGATATAATTTTCCAACTATGAGTCATGGTCGAATCCCACAAAGAACAATATGTAGGCAATTAGGGAAGTAAGAGAATTATCACTTATTATGCTAAGCCAAACACTTATAAAGGTTTTGAGAAAATATTATATCTAAATGCAAGAATATAAACTAACATAGAAAGTGAGTAAAATGATCAATGGCTTACAACAGGAATTACACTCAAGTAACAATCCAATGTATTTCACAATTTTGCAAATATGAGCGAGTTTATGTTAATTAGTTTCGGATAATAATTTTATATTAGCTTCTTCCGGAGGCTAACAAGACTTTCTAATTGAATTATCCCTAAAAGAATTAGAAATTTTTTAAATTTTCATTGTGTTTTTTCTTTTTAGAATAGTTTATTTTATTACTTTTTTATCAATCTACCAAGTTCAGGAAGTTTTTAAGTGTTTGAGACATCAAGAAGGGAGATTGAGAAATGAGAAAAAGTCAGGTCTAGGCTACAGTTGTCGCATTTGCGAACAAAGGTTGGCAGTTGCGAATGGATGACTCATCACAAAACTGAAGTAATCGTCGCAATTGAATCCCACAGAAAATAATATGTAGGCGATTAGGCAAGTAAGAGATTTATCACTTATGATTTTGAGAAAATATTATATATAAATACAAAAATATAAACCAACCTAAAAAGCGAGTAAAATGATCAATGGCTACAAGCATGGATGCAACGGGAATTACACTCAAGTAACGATTCAATGTATTTCACGATTTTACAAATATGAGCGAGTTTATGTTAATTAGCCTCGGATAATAATATTCTATTAGCCTCTTCCGAAGACTAACAAGACTACCTAATTGAATTATCCCTAAAACAACTAAAAGATTGAGTGCACCAGAATATGGCTACAAGTAGTTCAATCTTATCCCTATGTAGAAGCTATAAAATGAGGGTTAACGCCTCACGTTCTTGTTAATTAATCTTTCCCAACCCAAGTTATCTTTTCCAAGATTAATTCAAAGTTAATGCGCGAGACCTAGGGTTAGCTAATTCCTTTGGAAACATTAAAGAACAAGAATAATTGAAGAAACAATTAACTAACTTCAATATTAATAAAGATTATTCAATACATAAACACAACAAGAGATTTAATCCAGATTTTAATAATAAATATTTTCATAAACAAGATTCAGGTATTGAAATAAATACTACACACTTAGATATTCAATAAAAAGTAAGGAATTGAAGAAATGGGTAAGAAAATCTCATCCAAAGTCTTCAACTCCCAAGTGTGTGTGCAAGAACCCTAGCTCCAAAGCTTGTATTCTTTGTCAAGAGGATGCCAAAAATGCCAAAGATTCAGCTAGGTCGGGTCGGGTATTTATGGGTTTGGACAAAAAAATGTGAAATTCCAAATCTGCCCAGAACTGAAGCCCGTTGTTCGCATTTGCGAAAAATGCAAACCTTAACTATACTGTTGACCATCACATTTGCGAACTTGGGCTTCTTCACCTATTTTCGCAATTGCGATGAAGGAGTCCGCATTTGCGAACGTTGACTGTCTGGTTGACTTCGCATTTGCGGTCCTTCATTCGCATTTGCGACTTATGCGTTCATCTCTATACTTCCCAATTGCGATCAAGCTTCTCGCATTTGTGGTTATTACTTGTGCGTTGACTTTGCAATTGCGAAGTCCAGATCGCATTTGTGATATCTGAGGGCTTTTCTCCCATTTTCTTCGTTTGAGCTCTTTTTGACTTGTTTTCGCTTGGTTTCTTTCCCGATCATTTCTAAATTATGTAAACCTTTAAAGTAGAAGTAAGCGACATTGAATACACTATTTTATCGGTCAAACATAGCAAAAATCTAAGATTAAAGAAGAAATAAGTTGGTAAAATACTAACTTATCAGTTACCACTGTTCTTCTAGCACTCGGTGCTGGAAATAGTTTGCAAGTTTTAAAAGAATGTGATCTCATATTGGATAACAATGCCTTGAATGTCATCTCATATTGGATAACAATGCCTTGAATGTCATCTCATATTGGATAACAATGCCTTGGCACCACGGAATCTCAAGTAGAAGCAAGTGTAATTCAATACAAAATGATCTTGAAGATGTTATTGTTTTGAAGTTGAATGGGATTATATCTACTTCATCTGGAGTAACACAACTGAGCTCCTTAGTGAGTAGGACCGAGACTTCAAAATAAGTGGACTAGTTTTTACTAAATTGTTAGTGGCAACAATGTGATTTACTCGGGTTGGTTAACCACATCTCTTTTTATTTGCCTCAGCGAGATTTTTCTCTTTTACTGGAGTTATTGTACTTTATTCAAGTGTAAACTGTGTTAGTACCCTCTTTTGTTTTCAGATAATATACATGATAGGATGGAGGGAACACCATTCTCAACAGAAAGCAAAGAAGAGGGGGTCAGCCACAGTGTCATTCCAGGATCTCCAAAAGCAATTTGGCAGTGGTGGTGGCTGCTGACCTCTCGCGACATTCTTTCACGATATATTCTTACCTGTTTTCTGATGCTTTCCAGCAGCTAGAAGATGAGGGGATGGAGATGCCCATAATTTAGACACTTTTTCAAAACCTAAAAGTTTTATAAGCAGCTTTCTTTAGTCATGCAGGAGAATCCTGTAAAATAATAGGTAATAATAAACAACTTTTAGTTGAACCATGGACTACTTCAACTTTCTTGTCATTGCAAAAAACACCGATGTACATCTGTTACATGATGCTGTTCTATAAACACTAGTAAGGCTGTATTAGGACAAGTCTGTCTCCCTCACCCCCCCTCCCCCCCCCCCCCCCCCGCCAA